ACTATGAGCTATATTTCTGCTATTATTAATCAAGTTAATCTTGTCTCCTTGCTTCCCAATGGTATGACGTTCTCTGGAGTATTCCTCCCATTTCGTGTCTCCCTTTTTTCATCCTGCTGTGGGTTGACAGTGGATGGAGGTGGCTGACACACTGGAATGCAGTGATGTGACAAATAGCATTTCCCCAAGAAACCCAAACAAAGTGACGTGTTTGACAGCTTTTCCTTCACTTGCATTAAGACCTGAGGTCTCCTGTAATCTATTTTCCTAAGCCCTTTCCAGGTTTTGCCTTGCTGGTCCATGTCCAAGAGGAGGTTAGCTTCCTGAAACATTAATTTAGGAATTGTCCATTAGTGGGATTCAGAGAGGCAACAGAAGACAGCACCCAGAGATTCATTAGACAGTTGATCTGGCTTGTCTGGACCATAAGTTTCTTATTCTCATTAAATTTTATTGACATTTTTTCTTTCCTCCCGTTTTTTTAAAAAAGTAATGGACGGTTCTCTTTTTCAGCTCCTATATCCAACCTGTCACAAGCCCTGGATGCCCCACCTTTTCTACGCTCTATCTCCCTTCCTCTCTCTGGAGCCCACTGTCATTGTCCTTGTTCAAGCCTGGGCAGTTCTCAAATCATCCATCCATCAACTTTCTAACTGGTCTCTCTGCCTTCATTTTGGCCCCGCCCCCCCTTCCTAGTGCTCTCCAAAAGAGATTGTTACAAAATTCAGTTCTCATCATGGTGCACCCTATTTAGACTCTTTCACTCTCTCCTTGTAATTGTCACTAGTTTAACACAGAAGACTTTCCAGATGTTGGCGCTTATTTCCTCTAGAGCTTCATTTCTCACCCAGGTACCCTTTGTCCAGACAAACTAAATCGTTCACACTCACCTTAAGGCACCCTGGTATTTGCTGCCTTTGACCTTCATATATACACAGTTCCACGTACCTTACGTTCTTACCCACTTTGTGCACCTGGCTATCTACCCTATACCCTCACAACTCAGAGGAAGCCTGATTTTTTCTGCTTAGCGTCCCCTCCCCCAGCCGACTTAGATGCCACCCCTTCCTTCTGCCCTCCATCCTCACTTGTCCCATAGCACATGTCACATGGAGCCCTCATCACCTGTGAGCTTGTCTGTCTTTCCCACTAACCTGTAGATTCTTGAAGGAAAGAACTGGGTCTTACTTGACTTGGTATCGCTAGTAACTCTCTAGGTTCTTTCACATACTGGGCATTTAAGACATGCAAGAATGGGTATATCTAGTAGAGAGTGTGCTAAGCTTGCACAGGGTCCTGGGTTCAGTCCCCAGTACCCCCATTAAAAATAAATAAATAACAACAATGACAAAAAAAATGCAAGAATGAGCAAAAAAAAAGAAAAAACCCAGAGATATCCTAGAGAAGTGACTTTAATTGCCCCATGTCATGGGTAACTCTGCTGCCCACATGGGTACTGGACTGATTCTAGAACTTTCAGCCGGCCAAGGATGCAGTGAGGGTGTGGGCCTGACAGCTGGTTCAGTTTCTGTCTGGTTGTGCCAAGTGGCTGCCCATGTGATATGACTCAGGGGTAAGCAGTTTCCCTCTCCCTCCCAGCAGCTCTAAACGCCTAGCACTGTGCGGTGAATGTAGTGTTTCCCCCGGAGAGTCATCGCCCTATTAAGGTTTGATCTTTAAATGTCAAATACAACAAAAGTATGAGTAACCATGAAGATACTCAAATTGATTCTTTGGAAAACTGAACTAGAGAGATGCTCCTTTAAAAAAGTGATTTCCCTAAGGCCACACAGCTAACAGTGACATCTGGGCTGGAACCAGATGTCTTGGCCTTCTGTTCGGGTGGTTCCTGTGATACGATTCTGCTGTTATGCTCAGTTCTAGGTGTGTAAGTATGATCTATCCTGCTTACTGCAGTGAGTACCTGGTCCCTGCCCTCAGTAATTCTGAGTCGGTGGGTCTGTGTGGATTTGCAAATCTCCAATTCTGTGTCACCCCCTGGGGAATTTTCATGCCGGTCAGAGGTGTAAGCTTCCGAGTGAAGACTTGACCCCTAGGACCAGACCCCTCCCAGGGAGTTTGTATATCTGCTGAGGGACCCAGGTCTGCCAGTTAGGCTTAAAGGGGATGGAAATATTTGAGAGGAGCAAGGGTATAATCTGCTGCCTTGTGCTTTTTATGTAAAATGTTATTTCTTTATTTAAAAACAAAAACAACAGAACTGGGCTCTTGAACCTGACCATCTACTTGGAAACAATAACTGACGTAAGCAGACATAAGTGGAACAGCGATGTGCTCAGAGCTCACCGAGTTCCACTCAGGGCCAGTCCCAGGCGGTGGAAGTTGATCACTTTCCTCTGTAGTTGGGGCTCTTTTTTTCCTTGCCTTTGGGTTTCCTGGTATTTTATCCACAAGTGCATCACAGCAGGGAGTGGTGTCTCATCGCTTACCACAGGATGTCTAGCCTTACTACAGAATTTCCCAATATTGCTGAAAAATGGTTCCTCTTTTCTTCTAACTAGAAGCTTTTTTTAAGGAAGCAGGACTGCTTTCTTCTAAACACGTGAAACTTTCAAATTAAGTAGAAAACTGTTTTAAAATATTGCTTATAGACTCAGTATCAACGTTGAGCACAGTCAGTCTCCAGTAAGTACCATGTATCGAGTGTTGTTTTCCTTACGGGGTGATCATTTGTCCCTTCAGGCTGAAAGGTCCTTAATGAAAGTCTGATCCACCCTTTATGTGTTACAAGTGAGGAAATGCAGGCTAAGCAGGAGATGACTGAATAAGAGGGTATTGGATGCATATGAGTAAAGGGTGCTCTGAAAAGGAAGAGAGGGGTCAAGTTTCACAAGGCGTTTGTGAGTCTGACTAGTCTCACAGGCTGGCCTCTGTCAGGTCTGTAGGCCCGTAAGACAGTGACATATCACTGGACAGGTTGGTTCTAAGGGTTTTAAATCCAGTTGGTCTCTTGATGGCTCTCTGACCACTTTAATTTGACCTCAGATTTGTTTCATAAACGTGTAATGGGGCAAAGGGGAGGGTCTGTGATGTAGAAGGGCAGCAATTCTGGCATGCTCATCACTTCTTTTGAGGGGGGAGTTTGGTGTCTCAGCTAATAGTCATTTTTCCTTAACAGAGAAAGGAGCCTCGTTTCAATTCACCCCGGGTCTCAGTATTAGAGATATGTGTAGATTAGACACCAGTGGAGACTTAGATGAGGGTCCCTTATTAAGTATCCAGAAGGATCATTATGGTATCCTACTCTTAACTGTAACATTTTCTTTCTCTCTTTTTCAAAAGAACAGGACTTTCAATAACATTCTCAAAACCATGCCTCCAAAGGTGAGTGAAAAAGACAGCTTTCAGTGTAAACCCAATCTACAATAGGCCTTAATATCTTTTTCCTTTTTTCTTTGCTATCCTTCTTATTTAAAGTGAGGGGGAGGGTATAGCTCAGTGGAGGTGGGTATAGCTCAGTGGTAGAGCAGATGCTTAGCATGCACGAGGTCCTGGGTTCCGTCCCCAGTACCTCCATTAAATCAATCAACCAACCTGGTTTAACTCCCCCCCCCCCGCCAAAAAAAATGAATTGTCTTAGAGTCAAAGACTCTTCCTGGAGCCGACTTACCTATTAAGCATCACGTCATTCCCGAGCCATCCCTCTCTCTTCCCCAGTCGCACTCCCACAGCTCTCGGTGGTTTCCTCTCATCTCCCCTTCAGGTCTCTGCTTGCACCTTCCCTTCAGAAGCAAGCCCTTCCCAGGCTGTTCTTCATAAAACAACTGCCCCTGCCCTCCCTTTCTCAGCACTCCCTAGCCTCCTTTCCTGCTTGTCTTTTCTTACTGCTAACTGCTCTATTTGTTTGATTACTGTCTAGCGGACTCCACTAGAGGTTAAGCTCCCTAAGGGTAGGGATTTAAAAAATTTTTTTTCTTTTTTGTTGTTTTTTTTGGGGAGAGAGGGGTAATTAGGTTTATTTATTGTAATGGAGGCACTGGGGATTGAACCCAGGGCCTTGTGCATGCTAGGCATGTGCTCTACCATTGAGCTACACCATCCCCATCCCCCCATCCTAAAGATAGGGATTTTTATGTGTTCTGTTTACTGCTGTGTCCTTAGCACTGAAAAGACTCTGGTGCATAGTAGTTGTGCAACAAATATTTGTTGAATGAATGATATGTATGAGTAAATGAAATAATTAAAGTACTGTAAGGGCACCAAAAGATAAAAACATAAACCTTAGCTCAGCATCTTCCCTCTTCTCTCCTAAATCCCACCTTTTAAGACAGAAGAAAAGAAAGTAAGGCACTTACCAGTGTGGGACCAAAGCCTGGGTTAGACAGATAGGTTAAGAACAAAAAGGCAGGGGACAACACTACACTATCTCTTGTAACTGGGAAACAGAGGGATGGTTCTGGGGATGCAAAAGAGCTTAAGAACTGTGGCTCTCTGTCCCCTTTAGCTTTTTTCTCAGCTTCTACAGTATGTCTTGGCCTCATTCTTCTAGTGCTCTCACGTGACAGAGGACACGGCTGCTGGGATCTCTGGAACAGAATCATTATAGCTTTCAGTCAAGGGGGAAAGAAGTATTTCTTTTGCTGTGTGCATATAAAATCTTGGAAAATAACTCCAACTGGTCCAACTTGGCCAACTCTTCCCACTAGGATCTAAGCCCCAAGAAAGCAGGAGCTTTTTCACTTTTGCTCACTGCTGAATTCCAAGATGCTAGAATAGTGCGTGGCACAAAATAGATGCTCAATAAATAATTATTGAAGTGATGAACAAATCACAGTGACCAGGAACAGAACACTGATTGGCACCTGCACTATAATCAGGGGTCACTACCCCCAGCCCCAAACCAAAATATTACATCGAGGAAAGAAGGGGTAATGGGTAGCTAAAATATTAGGTACCCATCTTACAATATAAAGTCTTTATTATTATTTTTTTAAATCAGAAGTAGTGATTTTCCATTTTAAACTTAGAGTCCCTTCCTGGGAGAGCACAGTCTTCAGTTGAAGGGATTAAGCATTAAGGTTCAAGTGAGCTGTGGGCCCTTTCCATTTACAAGCATGATGGGACAAAACTCTTTTGATGTTCTGACTACCTGGTCTTTGTTGCAGGTCTTTGTGGCTTCTCCTTTGCCTGGGTGATACAGTCTCTTAGCACGAACTGAGAAGCTGCCTCCCAGGCTCAAGTCCTCAGAATGTCCGCCAAATAAAAAACTCTCAGCTTTTGGGTTGTGCATTTTATTCCAGTTGACAGCCCACAGGAACTGCAATTCTTTCATCATTTCTATTTAGCAGTACCTGGAAGTATAAAGTCCTTCCCCACAGACCATACCCATGAGAAAATGCCAGAGCTGTCCATTACTGGCAGCCTCTCCCTGCTGACCAGCGAAGATTGCAGCCAAGATTGATCTCAAAGTCCCCAGTCTGTCAAGAGTAGAGTTGAGGTAACCACCCAGATAAACAGGGTTTTAATTTTTGTGTGTCTGTTTAAGATTAAGAATCTTCCTGTCTTGGTAGGATTTACTAGACTCTGAAAACTGAATCTGTTAGGTGAGGCCTAGACAGGAGATGGCCTATTTGAAAAACTTAGTTTAATGAGTAAATGGGTACCTCAAATTAAGCAAAAAAACTAGAGTTTACAAAAAGTTACACATTTGTTACAGAAATGTCAACATTGGGAAACAAGGCAGGCGGATGTTGCAGGCAATAAAAGAATTTACCGAAGACACAGGAGAGTTTAATAGATACGCTGCTATTGGCAGCAACAGGCCACACAGACAGGTGCCTGTGTGAGCCCCAGGGGTTGATTGTTGGGGCCTTTTACGGGGAAGGGGTTGATGAACACAATGAGTTGGGGGCTGTGTGTGTGAACAATTCTGGGATTAGTTGTAGGTGAGGCATGAAGTTCAGGGTCCCTGAAGGGGCGGTGGGTTTATGACTCTAATAAGAGGCTGAAACAAACCAGCCTGGGCTACTGTGAGGTAAAGCATTCCGTCGGGCTGTTAGTTTGCTAGGGCAAACGAGCCCTGCAAAGAATGTACTTTTTCTTTTGAGGGACCGCAGGCAGACATCTGAGAGCCCAGGAATGGGGGTCACTGGACTTTGAAAGGCCCCACACTTAGTAACCAAATTTGACTGCCCAAAGAAATTCTGCTGTTTCCCATATTTCCCTCAATAAGTATTTCTGGGACTCCCTGGGAAATGCTGACGACACAGAAATCGATCCTGGTTCTTGTTGCCGCCTCAGCCAGATATCTAGCTGCTGCTCTGTCCTCTGTCGGTTCATTTCCTGATAACTTGTCCCCAGCCCCATCCCTAACTTGCTCCCAGCTTTCTTCACCCTGCAGCTGGCTGCTTCTTGGCGATTTTCCCCAGGTGGGCACAGTCATTTCCCTTAATCCCCCCATGATTGGCTGTTAGATGGTCCAAGGCTTTGTGAAGGCTTGAGGGTTTTGGAAGGGAAACCCCCCAGCAAAGAGAATGCAAAAGAGGATTCCAGATGTGGCAGGGCTCAGAGCCCCTCCAGGAGGTCAACTGCAAGGTGTGCATTTTCTCCCCGCTCCCCTTTCAGAGGAACTTCCATCCTGCTCCTTAACCACCCACAGAGCAGTGCCCTTGAGGATGTTCTTACCTGGAGTCTAGCCTCCGCACCCTCGTCCACAGCCCTGAAGACCTCCTAACACCCCCTGTTTCCCACCTTCCCTTCCCAAATGACTGGGAATATTCATTCCCTGAAGGGGAAAGTCCACAGGAATAAAGTTTTCTCTGAAGGCTCTAGAATCAGTCAGAACTATGAAGTTTAATCAGATTCATTTTCCTAATTCAGGGTGTTCAGTGGCTCATGACACCAACTGTGGAATAAAAAGCGCAGGCCCAGGACAGACGGCACTGGTCCCAGCCTGTTCCTTTCTGCCTCCTCGCTTGCAGGGTCAGGTGAAGAGAACGTCAGGGCTCCACTCAGATCTCTGTCAGATGCTGGCTCCTCCGTCCCATCTCTGTAGCTCCTGGACACAAATGCGGACAGACACCTTTTACTCCGCCACACACACTCACGTAGACGAGTAGGAGACTATAAACCCACGCTTAGGGAAGAAACATCTCTCTGTTGACTGTATAAACTGTAGAAAGATAGATCCGTTCAAAGATCTGCCCAGTTTACATTTCTAAACAGATCCCTTGTCTTCGAATGGAACAGACTGCATCATCTGGGTTTGTGTTTATGTCTTCCCCAGAGCTGTAGGTGGGTATTACACAACCCAGGGACCCACTCAGGTGGCTTTTCGTAGAACTGAAGAACAGTCATCAAAACCGCAAGCTGCTACCTTTGAAGAGGGAGTCTGCCTGCAATCTTTCCAGCTTGAAAATAAATCATACTAAAGAAGAATTAGGAGGAAAGACTAACCCTACCAGATATTAAAATGCATAATAAAGTTAGAATAATTAAATCAGCTCATAATCAAGGTAGAAATAGAAAATCAATGAAACAGATTACAGAGTCTAGAAATAGACCTGCATATGTTTTCAGATTTGACGTGCTGGGTAGTATTTGAAATCAGTAAAGCAAAATTAGATTATGTAATTATGTTTGGACAACTGGAAATTTGGAAACAATATATAGCTAGGGCCTTACGTATTGTCTTACACCAAAATAAATTCCAAATGATTAAAATATTTATATTTAAAGAACTAAGTAGTAAAAGTGCTAGCAGAAAATACCAATAATTTAAAAAATTAACTTCGGAGTGGGAAAGCTCTGGGAGTCTGACATAAAACTTAGAAGTTATAAAGCACGAGGTTGGTAAATTGGGTTATGCTTTGAAAAATATAAAAATCTTGGCATTTTAATAATACTTGTAAACAAGGTAAAAAAAATTCGAAGGACAAAGTGGGAAAAA